GCTCATAGAGCAATACATATGACAATGTCCCTCAGCCTCCTAATCTCTCCTGGCTTCGGGCTGTAGGGACTGTAAAGCTGTAAAACGATTAGGGCAGATTAGGGCAGGCTTCAGCCACACTGACACACTTAAATTAATTTAAATTAATGAATACATGTAAAAAGCAAAATAACCCTGAAGTGCATGGCTCTAGGGTCCCCCTTTCTGAGCATTTGTTTTATCGTAAATGTCAACAAAATAAAATCATAAAAATGGAATAGCTGTCTATCTGCAGTAGATATGCAATAGATAAAAATATCCATGTACGTATCTCTCCAGGAGTGGTGTCTAGATGCCATACGTTCTGATGTTGAAAGCATCTTTAGACCTGCAGGCAATTGCATTATAGGACATGAGCATTACTAAATACTAAATACTAAATACTAAAATGCTAAATACAATTGAATTTTATCTGGCCAGGGCGGCTTATTTTATAATGTGAGTTTTAATTAAGATTATTTTATATGGATTTTAACTTGTTTTATCTATGTTGTAAGCCGCCCCGAGGCTTCGGCGAATGGGGCGGCATAAAAATGTTTTAATAAATAAATAAATAAATAAATAAATTAGCCTTACAATGTTCTAATGTTTAGTCTTTTAGCTGTCAAAAGGTTTCAGGAAATCCATGGGAAATCACCATCTGTTAACTTTCAGGAAGTTAACTGGGGTCCTGTTTGTAAACACATCCAGTTTCAGGTGTCTCCATTTCATGGTTTTGGTATTATGGAACTTATGGACAGACAGGCAAACATTACCTGTTTTATAGAAAATTGTATTTTAAGCTTTGGCTGATGTGTGTTCCAGTCTGCGAAGGACAGCTGTCGCATAGTACAGATCATTAAACAGGTAAACTTCAAAATGATGGACTAATCACATAAAATAACTATAAAAGAATTTAGAAGCATAGAAGCAGCAACCTAAATCCATATTTACATGAACGCAACTGCTCAATAATTTTGGCAGCCTGGTCAATGCTGGGCAAGAACATAGGTATACATAGAAAGTCATACATTTTTCAATTATAGTTCTTCCTGTGTAAAGTAGGAAAACAACCTTTTCAGGGATGATACAATTAGACCCTAGTGTAATGGAGAAGATGGATACAGCAAAAAGGAGGTTATTAGTCATAGAAGGGTAAACACCAAGGAAACAGCAGTTGCTTTTAGGATGTGAAAGAGCAGCACAGCTTCTAATTGGTTTTTCATGCTGTTGATTTTCCAACATCAGCTTTTGTCAGTTTGGGCCAACAGAGTCAATGTTCCCAGCAAGAGCTTCATGTACAGCTGTGGTGTTTTCTGGGTCCTGCCAGGATTACCAGCTGCTGTTTTCTACTATTCCAGTCTAATACCCTTAATGATAGAACAGTCCAATCGAGATTTTGCAAACAAGGCATGCTGTACAGGCAGTGTTGATAAAAGGTTATCAACTGGCCAAGTTGGTACAGTGATCCAAAGGTTGGGGTCATAGCAAAGCATTTAACTGAGAGATAAATCAAGCCTTCCTCGAAATCCATGTTATGCTTTTGTTTGGTGCAGGTTACCATATGTCCTACTTGACAGAAGACAGTCCTTTAGTGCAGCCTTTCCCAGCCTTGTACCTTCCAGACACATTTGGACTGCAACACCCAAACTTCCCAGTTAATGACTCTCCTGAATTGGAATTCTGGGAATAGCAGTCCAAACGTCTCTGAAGGCCACCAGGATGGGGAAGGCTGCTTTAGTGGACGGGTGGTCAAGTCGAAGTTCAGGTCAACCTGCATTAACCCTCAAACACACACACACAGTTGTTGCTGGCTTCCTCTGACAAGGCAAACATTCCATATGAATATTCCGCAATATTCCACTCCTTGACAGAATATTTCCCCGAAGATTGCAGTCAGTATAACAGTGTATTTCAGGCTTCAATTAGTACAGGTAATTTCAGTCTGATTCATTCCTGCCTCAGGGTATGGTCAATATAACAGTGCTTTCTCCCAAAGGATTTTTTTTTTTTTTTTTTTTTTTTGAGGGAGAGGTTTGCTCCTTTTCCAGAATGTAAATCAGACCAAGATGATTTTTAGATAGCCTCCTTTTGTTCCACATATTTGAGAATAAATGAGCACCCTCCATGGCCTATTGTTATGCAGATTGGGAGGTATTTTAAGCCATTCTGAGATGCCATGCATAAGGGATGGCATAGAAAAGTTTTAAATAAATAAATATTTTGTGTTTTGATAAAAACTGTAACAGGCAGGTGGCTGCAAATTGGTGGCATTACTTACTAACCCTGAAGGGACAATGCCTTGGAAGGACTAGATAGTAGGCCAACTTATATATAAGGTATACAACCAATTGTGAGCCTGGGGTAGAAAGTTGCCTGCCAACAAGTAGCCCATCAACATTAGACTGAGTAGTTGCAAAGGTCACCTGGTCACTGTCTCGATGCATGGTGCAATGTACTGCATTTCTATTTAAAGTGTTATAATTATTTCTAAACCCTTTCCTATGGCAGGTAGACTGGGAGGAAGGGGTAGAAAGTCCTTAGTCTTGGGAAATTGATGGAGAAGGGATTTGATAATCCACTACAGGTCTGTCAGTGATAGAAGGTGGGCATGGTTTCTGGAATGAGCTGCCGCCTGGGATGGAGAAGACAGGGGCCATTCGGAGGACTCGAGCAGCAGCTGAATGGGGAGCAGTCACACAGTAAAGCCCAGCTCTGCAGGGCTGAAGCTCTGGGATTTTTGACTGGCAAAATTATACTATTTATAAAAAGTCAATTTTGACTTGTTGATTTCCTCTGCATCTCCTTCTTAGGTTTCTGTTCCCTCTGAGCTTAGCTGCAATCCTCAGTGTAGCTGGGCAGCAGGAGGGACTGATTTTCTCAGCAATGACATACAATTGTGTACTACTGTTGTAATGCAAACTATCTTGGTATGGGTCGCTTTTGAACACATAAGGTCTATTAGCTTTTTAAAAAAAGACTTACATAAATCCTACAAAAGTCTCTCTCTCTCTCTCTCTCTCTCTCTCTCTCTCCCCCCCCCTCTCTCTCTCTCTCTCTCTCACACACACACACACGTATGGAGCAACTGCATTTTGAACATTTCGGGATGTAGCTGTGAGAATTGTCATGAAAAGTTCAGAATTCTCTGCAATTCAGAATTAACCCCTGCACTACGGGGGTGTTATACAGCTACCCATCTTGTAGGGCATCAATTCCCAATAATTAAGTGGCTCAGGTTTGAGTTAAGGTATTTTTTGCAGCTGGATAGTTTGATCAGTTTCCCCTGTGAAATGTTAATAGAAAAATTAATAGAAATTTCCCCTTCACAGGCTCCAGGTTCCCCCCACCCCTGGCTATATTGCTTCTTATTCAATTGAGTTGTGACTTATTTCAACTCCAAGTTGGACGTCCACCTTATTTCCCTCCATTGCAGTAGCAGATCTCACCCTGACAGAGGGTAATCACACAAGATACTTACTGCACATCGAAAAGTAAAGTTAAAACAATTAGGTTTCAACTTAGCTGGGCATTATCTGATGTCTTGACTCTTTGAACATGTTCTTGCCAAACACAGGTACCTTCAAATGCTGGAAAAGATTCCTAAATCTTTCTCAGTCAAATCAGTGGGGTGTAGGAAATGCTTCATCATGGCTAGAAGAAGTCATCCCATTGAACATTAAAGCTGAAATTCTCAGAACATGGAATTTGTAGTCATTATCAGTTTTTCCATTTTTGTTTGTGGAACTGGATGCTATAATACTCCATGGTCAAATCTCTGTTTAGCAAAGAAGCTGTCTGAGTAGCTTTAGGCAAATTATTATCTTGGATCTAGTCTACGTCACAGGGCTGTTCTGTGCTTAAGCTGCTGCAATACAGGATTAATAGGAATAAAAGAATTGCAGTGAAATAATAAATATGCCTAGTGTCTAAAACACAGTTTGAATGCTACTCCAAATGCTAGGAGGCAAAGGGTGCAAATCGTGTGGCCTTCCACTGCTCTCAGCGGAGGGTCATAGAATTACTTGGACTCTCATCGCCAAGATCCTGCAATCTCAAAGCCACGAGACCAACGGCTGGGCACCTGCCACACTCCTCTTGCAACTAGCACTCAAAGAACCACAGAGGTTGTGTGCCCTGAGCTGCAAATGCAACCTGGGAGGAGGAAAAAGGGGCAACCCCAGTATCAGGGAGAGGAGGCGGCCAAGGACTTAGGACAATTCAGACTGGCATCCCGGTCTCCTCCACTTCCTCTTCCTGGTGCTTTAACCATTGGAAATAGCCATCTAGATACAAATCTGGGTACAAGATGTGCCAGGGATCACTGCTGCACCTTGTTTGGGAAAGAGAATGCACGTGAGCTCCTGTATGGTGAGGCTTACATGCCCTGTGGGTGGGGTGATAGAATTGTGCCCTACAACACTAAAAGCACTGAGCAAAAATACGTATAGCGTGGCTATCTTGCCGTTGTCTGTTTTTAAAGGACAGGCTGTCAACAGGACTGGGCTGGTAAGCTGCATGCTGGCTAGTTTCCCTGGACTATGGAGCTGGCTATGTTTCTATTTGCAAACACAAGCTTCACTCAAGTGGCACTAAAATGGGAAGAAAGGGGGGAATGAGCTGTAGAGAGGGAAGGCAATTTATTCTAATGTCTGGGTAAAAGGAGTTTGTGTATGGAGAAATAGAATGTCCCACCTTATACAAATAAAAATGCTATTTTAAAAAATATTTTGAAATTAATGCATTTAAAACAACAGCACATTCATTCTGCGGTTTTCTTTTGGCTTTGGAATTTTGCAGTGGTGCATATGATCTTCGGTTTAAAGCCATGTTAAATTGGTAACAAGAAGGTCAGGCATTTCATACTTGGCTTCCAAAAAAAAAAAAAAAAAGTCTGCATGAAAGAATTACCCTGGAATTTCTTCAAGGGTCAGAGGAAGCAACAGTGAGTACCTCACTGCTTTAGTGTCCAGAAAGGCAAGAACGCAGAATCAGGCTTGGAGAAGATGCCTTTCAGTTGGCTGTCAGAGATGATGCAGGTTGGGAATTGCACTTGTTCGTTTTTTTCTGAAGATGACTGAAGTTGAACAAGCTATTTTTTCCCCCTACAGGCATTAAACACACACATAGAAACAAAAGCTCAAGACTATGTTTCTTTTTCTCACAGTACTTTTTCTTCTGGTTTTTAAAATCACTTTGGTTAGTCTATCAGCTCAAGAGCCATGGGACTGTCCCAGGGGATACCGAATGTGGAAGGAAAAATCCTCGTGCATTGGTGAGTGAATTTGTTTTCCATTTTAGCTCTGTTAAGAGGATTAGTGATTCTGGGCATTTTAATGACCATTTCTGTTTGTTTGTTTGTTTGTTTTGAACTGTGTTTACTTTATGGTTGATCTGCAAATCTTATTGCAATTTTGGTATATGCTTTTAGAAGTTAAAAATTCCCAGTTGCTAAGGAGCAACTTAACTGAAGTTGAATTTATGTTCAGCTTGTGAGTTTTCTAGCTTGTGGGTGGCTAGTATGCAGAACAGAATGCTGGGCTGAAGGCACCCTTGGTCTTGGGTATTATGTTCTTAAAAATACATCTGGATCTGGGATCCCAGTCTTGATAACCAGTGGGATAATAACAGTGCCTCAAGACCTCTTTCAAGAATCTTGCCAGAGGAATCTTGCCACAAAAACAGGTATGAGAGATATCTGGATGAAAAGTTTGATAACTGCATTTCAATATTGATTCAAAATTATACATTTAATGGATGCTAGGCTTACATGAGCCTTATAGTAACTACATTTCAGTAATTACATTGTAGAAACTTTTTCTTGATTGATTAGTTAAACATCCACAGGTATCCTCAATTTCTACCAAAGGATCCTGGGAATTGTAGTTTCTTAAGTATAATTGTCTACTAGAGCTGACTAGCATCAACTCACACAACAACAATCCTTAGGCTTCAATGTGAATAGGGAATGACTGTTAAATTAGAATATGTCTGCTGACTTTAGGCTTTTGGGAGCTACTTTATTTTTATTTATTTTATTTAATTTAAAATATTTTTATGCCATCCTGTCGCAAAAAGCCTCAGGATGGTTTACAACATAAAATATAACATAAATAAATTCCCGACCCACACTGGCTGCAATTAAAAACATAGAAAAGACAATATTATAACTTATTAAAATATTGCTGGAATAAAAAGGTCTACTTTATGTTAGAACCCCAAGATACACTAACCAGAGCCTAGTGCAAGAAAATCAAAATATTTACTTCTTCACACACACAAAAATACCTCCAAGTTTTCTTCATTTCAGCTGGATAATTTAGGGTACAGGTCAGTCATTTTGTTGCTGCTAATTTTATAAAATGGGAAGTCCAAAGAACCTTGCCAATCTAATGCAAATACCTGGAGGTCTATCAGTAAATTCAGTTCTACCTTTTCCTACCTCTGGTGGAAATTTCTTGGACACTCTTGCAAAGCCAATAAAAGTCAAAGCATAATTACAATGAATGTCATTTAATAATCATTATTAAACTAATTGAAATGTTTTTATTTGGTTCTCTGTCATTGGTGTGTGTGCACTGAAAGTTATCTCAAGTTTCTTAGTCTAAAGATGGATTGACATATGATGGCTTGACTGTTTATTTACTATATATTTAAGGTTTGTGAACATAGGACCAGGTTCCTGTGAACACTGGTCTCAGAAAGAATTCAACATTTACTCCAATTCCACAGTGGGATGCATGTAACAGGGAGGCTAGGACAACATTGAAGATGCTGTGTGTAAGGATCTTTTGCTTATTATCAACATAATTACTTAAAATCCAAGAGCAATTCTGCACTACAAATATATGCTGATTTTGTATTTCATTACCACATCCCCCCAAGATTCCTGAGAATTGTAGTTTGAAGAGCCTAATGTTGATTCCACCAGTATAATTATTCCACTTTTACTTTCCCTTTTGTGCACCTTTGGAACCAGCATGCATTGGGCACTCAGGGAAATTGATTCTGAAGGGAGAAAAGGAGCTGTTCAAGGTGTGCTAATTTGAACACAAAAGTTGTGGGGCTCATTCCAGGTGAATGGATTGGATTTCTCACCTGTCAGGTACAAGTCCCACTCCTGTCCTTTCTGTTCTACATAGTATAGGTAAACTTAGCCTCTGGACATAATAGTCTATGCATCACCCACCACCTATTTACATGTTAATGTGTATTTGGGTGCAATTTTATGCATGTTTAGACAGAAAAAGAACATACAACTTGCAGCTGGCTGGGGAATGATGGGAGTTGTTGAACTGTCAAATATGTGCAGAACTTTTTTCTGTCTAAGGATTTTGCCCTTACTTCACTTATTTCAAAATGTGATAAAGTGGACATACCTTAGTAATTTCTGTAGACATAAAGCAAACTATCCAAATATTCATTTTGTTTTTCAGTAACTTGATTATTTACATAATGTATAGATAAATAAGAGAAAATATTTTTTTATTTTGGACTTAGGAAATGTATAATGTAAATACAAGGGAATGGCAAAATGTATATATCTGAAATTATTCAAAGAAGGGAGGTCCTACATACATATATACATGCATACAAACAAACATACATATAACTATTGTGTTACTCTTCCTGTGTGGTGGGAAAATGGCCCACGATAATTATACTAGCAGAACGACTTAATCTTTTTTAAAAAAGCAAAGCAAAATGTGATCTGCCAAGCCTTGCTACATTTGGAACTTCCCCGCTCATTCACGTGAGTGGAGCCCCAGATCTCAGCTCCAAAAACTTGCTCTGACAGTACCACTAGCAATGCATGCTGAGAATATATTTTTAAAATTTAGTAGGCTGCCATTAGATTCTAATCCCTTTCACTAGATGCTTTTCATCACACCTCCAATAACTGCATGTATCTATCTGTAGCATAACTGCAAAACTCCATGCAGGTCCAATAGGGGGCTGGGGAGGGGGGAAGGGACGCAATAAATGAAGGCTGACCCTGAAGCACAGCACAATGCCCCAATGTGGTGGCAGCCTCCCTGCTAGGCATGCTAATGCCTCCCTTTCTGAAACTGGGACAATTTTTGGACACTTGGTAAATGGGGTTGCTTGTTTCTAATGGCGTCAAGGACTTTCTGTTAGCATTGCAGTGACATGATTCATCATTTTCACTCATTCTCAAGACCGCCTCTGCTGAGGTGGCATAAAGAGCCCTTTGAGCTCTGGGCAAGCCCCCATTCTTTCATTCAGGGCTGCCTGACAGGGCATTGTAGGCAGCCTTTGTGTTCCCTAAGAGGATTTCTTTAACACAGGGAAGGCTCTCATTGCGGTGAAATGGTTGCCAGGAGCTCCAAAGCAGCTGCAGCAAGATGGTAGGTGATACCCTTAAGGGACGAAAGACTGGCTGCTGGGGATGCCCAAGGCAAGGTGACACCTTGTTGTTTCAGAATAGCCTTAACTGTTAAGAATAAGGCCCCTGCTGTGTAACTTCGAAAAGAGAGTGTTCCTTGATAATAAAGGAGCCCTCCTCTTCATGTTATATTCACAACTACCCTGTGAGGTAGGTTAGGCTGAGACTGGCCCATAATCACCAAGTAGGATTCATGGCACTGCCAAGTCCCAGTGCAACATCCAGACACACTACCACGCCAGCTTTCCATGCTGTGCTTTCTTCTACTGATGGTTAAGATGGTCCCAGGTGTGCCAGATCCAATGCAATCAGCAACATTACCAGTGTGGGATCTGAGTATTCTTCATCCTGTGGAATTAGGGGGGATGGAGCTGTGCTCATGACTGTCTCAGACAATGTACAAGGCAGACATTCATCAATATCTATAAAACAACCATTTATAGGTCAAATCATAATGGTCAACTGACATCCAGGTACCGGTATTCTAATACTATTAGAATAGTATTTGATACCTGCGTGTCAATACACCATGTTCCTACAGCTACTCCTGTATTCCGGGCCACACATTGGATAAGGACAAATGGCCTTGTTATATTAGCAGTAAAGTTTGTTTTTCTTCTTTTCAACAGGCCATTTCTGGCCATGGCTTTGAATGGAACTCTGTAATCAAGCCTGGGTGTCAGGGTTCTGCTATGATCAGATCTTTAATAGGAATAAGGTTTCTTAGGAGCAGAATAGATCAGCACCACGGACAGCTCCAGGAAGCTAGACTGCCTGGAGGCTGCTCCAACAATGAGCAGATCTAGACTGAGCCTTAACATGGAGTTTGGTCATCTTAGTCTTACTGGCAGAGGGTTTGTTTCACAAAGGGCCCCAAGCTATATTAGCAGCCTCAAGCTATGGCAATATGTCAGTAGCTGTGGCATGCAAATACTGTAGTGGCTGGACTCCTCAGACTCTGAAGATGGCAATGTAACCTCCCCTGGATGCTCCCTAGGTTCTTTCTGGGGAACTAGGTCCTGGGAAGATAGAAGTTTCATGATAACAGTAGTAGTAGCACTTAGCACGCATTTTGATTTGTACGCCACTACACTAGCCCATATATGCGCTATCTGTGGGGTTCACAATATCTGGAATCTCCTCTAGGGACAAGTGAACAGAATTCTATGAGGATATGGAACTTGACCAAAAGGTTTGTCCAAATGGAAGCTGAAGACTGCTTTCTTTCATATCAGCCTGCCCCAAACTTACATTCATCATCTGAAGTCCTCTTACATGTTCCAATTCCTGGATGAGTTTGGTAGGTATGGCCTTTTTGGTGGCAGCACCCTGCTGGAACTCCCTAAGGAAATAATCTTTATTGTTCATTAGACAGCTGTTGAAGATAATATTGCTCTGCCAGGCTTTGAATAATTAAAGCTACTGTTTGAGTTCATCATGTTTCCCTACTTTTACTGCATTGTAGTTTGCCCAGATTGTCTTGTTTAAAGTTCTGTTGCTTGCATATTTTATTCTTGTTATCTTTATATGTACATTGCCTGAACTGCTCAACAAGTGATCCCGAAACATGCTAAATAAATAAAAGCCATTCCACACATGTAGGGCTGGGAAGAGATCAGGATAGCACAGAGTAAGATGGTCACCTCCCCTGGCACTGACACGCTCACTAGCCAGGCCTTTTGGCAGCCATGCATTTGGTGTTAAGTGGAAGGGATCATATGCTCAGAAAGCTGGACTTGGCTATGGGTTGTCCATGGGAGCAGAGACCTTGACTCATGAAGCTTTGCTGCATGAAGCTCCATTTCACAAACTGGTTCAACCCCACCATTTGTGTTTCTTGTGTGCACGACCAGTGGTCCTATTAACATCAGGGAGATGTGACCTGTAGGTGCAATTCTGCTCTCCTCTCACAAATTCTTTGAATGTAAGAAAGTAGGAAAGCTATCTGAATGTGGGAAAGCTATAATCTAAACAACATCATGGTATCTAGTAATAACTATCACTATTCCCAAATGATCCCAGTTCACCCCTTTGCTTTAACTTCTATTATATAACTCATATTTATCAAGGGAGATTTCTAGGGGCTGATTATATAAAGGGCTGAACAGGTGAACAAAAATTTGTTTGTAAGCTGGGTGCCTGCTAGGACATTTCTTAATGGGACATCAGTGTGGTTTTTAGTACCCTGTGTTGAAATAGCTTTGATAGTGTGTGGTTTGGAAAGAAACCAAGAAATGGACCCTGAACAGAGAGCTTCATTCTGTGTTGCTGAATTTGCCTTTTGATGCAGCCTAAGTGGCTTGATCACATACAGAGTGCATTTCCTTTAAATAATATTTTTGGAATCTCTAATCTGGATTGATTAACAGTACAGAAGAAGAAAGACTGGGATAAATGTCTGGGTGAATAAACATAAGCTGGATCATGATGTATATTCATCACTTTGGGATTTCAGCAACAAGATAACTTGCATGACATCACAGATAAAACTTCTGTATCACACATGCAACTGCAAACACAAAGCTTTTAGTGGAGTTGTTTTCATAATTAACTGGGACCAACAAACACACAATAATTAAGTGAAATGTTTACATGTGTGAACCAACCCTTGTGAGCAATTCTTAGGTAGAGCATTGCTGAACTTCCTATCACAAACACAGATATGACCCCCACAAGGGGCTTGATAAAGCTTCTAGTTATCTAATGAAGCAGGTAGAAACTGAATAGTTATCAGGCACTTGGCAGCCCATAATATGTGTTTGATGACCTAAATTTGGCTTGGGAGTTCAGGAGTTTGCAGAGTCTTTGGCTTATTGGGAAAGGCTGCATTTCCATTATCACCACCTGGATGTTGCATAGGAAACTACACAGAGATTTGCCATTACTTGTCTTGAAAAGGGGATGGAGTCTCATTCTTTTAAGATAGAGCCAGAGGGGAAATCTATAACCCAAAGGCCAAATGTGAATGACATGCAGTCTCAGTGTGGCCCCTGAAGCAGGTGAGACCCACCCATCTGGGAGAATTGGTATGTCTAGAGGAATCCCATCCTTGTTAGCCTTCACAAGGTAGGGCTTCAGGAGGGTAAGAGGCCTCATGGGCCAGGTGGATTGGCTGGGTGGTTCAAGTTAACCCATGTGCTGGAGATTCCCTGCCTCTGAGCTTTAGGATTGCAACCTCAATGAAAATCTGCATTGTGGGTATCATCCAACACATATGAAGATCAGCATCAAAGTTCCCATGGATTTGTTTTGGGGAGGAGGAGTGACCCTCTCTGAAGATGATATAGGAGGCAAGGCAAACATGCATTTCAGGAGGTGGGATTTCTTAACTTATGCAAAGTAACTGTATATTTTTCTCTGCTAAATAAATCCCAGCCTCCACTTTGGGGCAGCCATCTTCCCTCCCTAAACAATATCCTTGGGAATGAAGCTATTCCACTATTCAGTATCACTCCCATGATGTTTATGGTCCAGGAACTCAGCCAGGCTGCGGTGGACAGCAGCGTTGCTCTTGAAGTAACAATACAATGCCTTGCCCTGCCAATAGTGGGAAGAAGGAAGTGGTGAAGGAGGATAGAAAGAAAGTGCAGAGACCCTTGGATCCCTCAGATGAAGTAAATGGACCAAATGTCACCTTAAGAACACAACCATGAGCACACAACCACAAGAACACAGTAAATGCTTTGTGTAGAAAGGCTCTGAGACTGTGCTTGCCAGTTCCCACAAAACCTTGGAATTAGCCCATGAAGGACCTATGCTATGGATTGTAATTTCTTTTTATCTCCACCAGAAGAAATCACACGGGACCAGTCTCTTTTGAATCACATGGAAAGTGTCCCTTTAGCTGAAAACATGTGTAGGAGAAACGCCCTACAGATATGTCAGTTCTTCTGTGTTCAAAGCTCTGTGCAAAGGAGATAATTTGACCCACACCTGTTAGGATCCATTCAAGTTATTATTATGATTGCTATTTCTTTTCTATACCATCCCACAGCTAAATCCCTCTGGAAGGTTTACAACAGTCAATAAAAACAGAGAATAAAAAATACAATAAGATTATCATAAAATCAGGAAAAAAAACAGTAAAAATGTTAAAACACCTAAAACAGACAATAGCAAAAAAATGATTCTGTAAATCCAAATTATGTGGAATGGCCAATCCCCTCAAGTCCTTGGGCAGCCAAGTAAATCATTAAAAGCCTTGGAGAAGAGGACCATCTTAACCTGAAAAGATGACAAATTATCATCTTTTTATAATGAGCTGGTTGGCCACTATAGCTATCTTTAGGGTTCACAAGAGAAAGAATTTTATAGAATGAATATATGTATGTATTATAAATATCTATATGTCACTTTTGCTATATTCTTAAATGTACCCTACAGCCAAATTTTAGAATGCACAATAACTAAAAACCATAAAATAGATTATTTTATAACAGCAGTATGTAACAATAGTCATAATGCTTAAAACAGTTTCTGGGTGCTCATTAAATTCTCCAGCAGCAACCAAAAATGACTTTTCACAATGTAACTATTGTTTCTCTTAAGACATATTGGACTCAACTACCTTAGTGAGAAATTCCACCACTGGACAACTCAGTAATGAAATGTACATGGATGTTTAGTTGAGGGAGTAACTGGAAAAAACATGCAAGTTTTACAGCTGTCATATTCCTGAGCCAAACCTCACTTATTACAAGGCCACATGGTTTAATCGTCTCTCACACAGTGCAAAATGGCAGCATTGGAATTATTACAAATGCAGAAGCAGCTCTTGCAAAGGAGCATTCGACATGCAAATCAATCAAACGAAAAACACAAACCAACTCCTCTTTGTGATCTGTACTAAAGTGGAAGCTGGATTTTTCTTGAGAAGTCACAAACCAAGCAAGGCCCCATTTGTAAAAAGTGTAAACTAAAACAGTTTTGAAAATAGTTATTAGATTATGTAAAAACAAAAGTAAGATAAGAGGAGTTGGGCACAGAAAAGCATACGCCTAGCAACCTCCTATGACTATGTCTGATCTCAGACACAAAAAGTAAGACTACAAGAAGATTATCATCAATTTCAGTTAATACTGTAGTATGCTTTTAAAAACCCTAAGCTTACTTTATTTAGATTGTGGTCCAAAGCTTTACTCAACTCTGTTATAGGTGAACATTAAGACATTATAACATGCACTCAGATGCAGTGCTACCAGCAGAGGTGTGGCCTCTTTCTAGCACTTTGTTACCTGGTTTCCAGGTGTACCTAGGACTTGCCAAGACTTTGGGATGTTTTAATTGTTTTCTTAAAGTAAATAAAGTACAAAAAGGAAGAAAAAACACATATACAATTGTAGCCTAAATATTGGTAAAGCCAATTTCATATGGAGCACTACAATGCACATGCTTAATTTCAGTATCAAAAGCTATCGCTCTTTAATTTTGTTGATTGCTTCTTCAGTGTATATCATTTCATCATCCTTAAAATCATGATTTTTTTTTTGCTATATTGAAATTATTTGCAATAATTTATGTCTTTGAATGATGTATTGGATCTGGAAATTGGAAATGAAGGATATGCTACAAGAAATTGAAAGCAAAACCTCCATCCAGATGCACAAATAAAACAATGCAGACTGGGGGTGCACAATCATGGGCAGAAACCCCTTCTGGGCAAGCTCTTGGGTCCTTCATGCAGTGGTGGGTGGGTCTCAATGCAAAAGAAGTAGAACCAACAGCCATATGAGCAGGATCAAAAAATCAAAACAGAAAACCCAACCAGCATAGTTTAGCTGGAAGCCCTTCTTGCCAATACATAAACCCCAGGAGCTATTTCAATCTTCTATAATATGTGTGTGTCGGGGGGGGGGGGGGCAGGGGAAAGTTAGTGGCATTAGTGGGGGAACTGCAGTGAAGCAGAAACCAGGAACCTGTCAGTGATGAGAAGAAAGGGTGTGGCCTTCAGAGAAGCCTGGCACCGGGATCCATGGGAGCACACATTTTAGTCTGAGGTTCTGCTTTCCTGATCTCGACTAATAAAACATGGATTTGTGAGCACAGACTTTCTTTTCACCCACTCTCCAATGTGTAGTTCCTACACCATCACTTGTTTTCAGTAGAGGAAATGCAATCTTTAGAGTGGATACAGATGGAAACAATCATGAAAGATTGGTGGCTGATGCTGGACTATCAGTGTTAATGGATTTCGATTATGAAGAAGAGCATCTCTATTGGGTAGATACCAAAGAAGGTCTTCTCAAACAAGTGTACCTGAATGGCTCAAGTCAAGAGGTAATGGGCTACTTTTCTTAACATTAGCAAGAAAGACATAAAGTGCTTAGGAAATATTGCCTCCACTGCATTTCTGCCTCTAGAAATTAGAGATTTACTTTTGGCTAATTGTGCATGAAGTGATTCATTTAGTGGTTGCATGGTGGATCTGTTTCTTTCTAGTTACTGCAGAGGTCTTCTAGAGCAGACTTGGTCCAACACATTTTCAGGGCGCCAGGTTGGGAAGGCTGCTTTACAAAAAGTGTTGGGTTACAGTGCAGGTTGTCAAATTACACTAGCAACTCCACCACGCTACTGCATTGCTTTTCCTTGCTCAGTTCTGAGCAATGAAAGAGGATGCAGCAGTGTTGCTTAAACTATTTTGCACATTGCAGATTTTGACATTTCTTTTTGAGCAGCATAGTTGTCATGCATTATCCTTGGGAAAGACCATTTGAGAGATTAGATTGCTTTCTTTCTCTGCATGCTGAAACACAGATCTGTGGGTGGAACAGGAGGTCAGCCTTCACAATCCGTCACATCACCTCCCTTGATGGAAACCTCCACCACCCTTGCTATTCCAGCATGGGTGCCCCAATGGCAGGAAGGGCAAAAAGGTGGTATGTCAGGGTAGTACTGGAAAGACCAAGGGAGGTTTTCGACCAGCAGATCCAAAGTCCTCCTGTTCCCCTGACATGTGTCCAGGTTACTTTTAGAAGCAAAAAAAACTCTGTTGTGGAAGCAGTAGCTTCCAGGAGAGCAGCAAAACCAGTAGAGACAGAATACCCTATTATATGCTACCAGTTGTTTGGTTCAGGTACGTGTCATCAAAGGAGTGATTCAGTTGTATTCTAGTACAATGAAACTTTTTGTTGGCTTTATTTTTTGTTACAGACCATTTGCTTCATAGGAAAAGATGTATCAGGGTTTGCAGTAGATTGGATAAGCCGAAATTTTTATGTGGCTCACTACCAGAAGGCCACCATTGAAGCTATCAGCATGGATGAAAACCATTCCCAAATCCTTGCAAAGGATGAACATCATCCCACAAGCCTTGCAGTTGATCCAAGCAAAAGGTAACAGGCTGGCTTTAGCGCCTGGAGTAACATGACATTAAATCAGGACAGAGGCAGTTTAACTGTAATGTTTTCTGAAGGACTCACAAAGGCTCTAGGATTGGGAAGGAGTTGCATTAGCACACCCTTCCACCCCTTGTGTGTTCCACTAAATAATTAACTTACTGGTTTGATCAGAGTTTGCTTTTACATCTGAAATGGCAAATGATGGTTTGTATGAGATTGAAAATCAGTTTGTGCCCAGGCAGTTTTTCAAGCACTGATATAAATAAGATGAAGAACACTGGATAAGGAGAAAATGAAGAAAGGGATCTATGGCCTCCTCAACTGGCCTTGATGCAATTTCAACTCCGTTTACAGCACCACCCAGCGTAGTGTGATGGTTAGGGCACTGGGGACCTGGGAGATCTGGGTTCTAGTGCTCGCTTGGCTATGAGGCTCAGTGGGTGATTTTGGGCCAGCTACTCACTCTCAGCCTGACCTCCATTGCAGAGTTGTTGTTTTGAGGACAAAATGGAGCCATGAAAGCTGCCTTGGATTCTTCACATGAGGAAAAGGGAGGGATATAAAAGGCAATGCAATAATAATAATCAATGCCAATACTTGATTTTATGAACAGGTTTCTATTTTGGTCTTCTGAAGGAGCCGTTGACAGCATCTACAGAACATTTCTAAGTGGAAAAGAAGTATGGAGGATTTTACAGAGCCCTGGAAAAATCAAAGCTATCTCATTGGATCTGATTGATGTGAGGCTCTTCTGGATCCAGTATGAGAATGATGCCAGTGACATTTCACATATTGGAACCTGCAAATATGATGGTAGTTCTGTGCATATACATAAACCGTCAGTACGGTATGTTTACGAATATAAAATGTTGAACTGGAAAGATTGCTCTGATGCTGTTGCCTGCTCACAAAGCCCCTGAACTGGGTGAGAGTGTGCAAATGTTGCTGCTTGAGTTATTTCACTCAAGGTCTCTCCAGCTGTGCTTCATGCATGGTGCCTAGTAAGGCGATATTGCTGGTTGACTCTTTGGGAAGGGAAGCAGAGGGGCTGGATTTAGTCTTAGGCATGCTCCTTACGTTGCAGAACAAGAAGTGCCATTGACACCAGCTTCTCTTGCTCCTCCTCCTCTTCCCTGTCATTGCTGACACTTGGCTGTTTGAAGGGTGGAAGGCCATTTGGAAGGAATTTGTAACTTTTCATATGTTCATTTGGGTGACTTAATTTATATTGTTAATTTATATTATTCTATCTTGAAGTTTATTTATGGTTGTGAGCCGCCCCGAGGCTTCGGTGAATGGGGCGGCATAGAAGTCCCCTAAATAAATAAATATGTCTTTTTAAGTTTTGTATGGTGATTTTTCTATGGTGTTTTTGTCTTCTCCAGGGAGGCTAGACTCCTTGGAGAACACAATCATGGTAGGGAAAGTTGAAGTCAGAAGAAAAGGAAGGCAAAATAAGAGATGGCTTGATTTCATAGAGGAAGTCACAGCTGGGACATTTTGGAGGGCTTTCATTCATAGGTTACCATTAGTCAGCTCTTGGTAACAACAATGCTGTTTGTATTTGATATTGTATTTTTCTGTGTTGCAAACCCTCCCAGAGAGCTTTGACTCTTGCACAGCATAATAAGTAGTGTGGGAGAGTGAATGCCTAACCCAGACAAAATAAATAAATAAAACATTTTATAAATCACTTACATCTAAAGATTTCAAAGTGGCGTACACAATAGAACCTCAATAGAATCATATAAACGAATGCGTACAATATGGCATATCTGCATAAGATGGTAAGGTACGCTACACAGGGGCTTACAGGAACACCCAAAAGGAAAGGGAAATGTTGGCTTTCAATGGATGTTTATGCAATTCTCTCTGGGTTACCATCTAGCTGAGTGGGTTATTGACGTACCTTGTGTTTCCATGAACATGAGCAACTTGGATGTAACTGCTGCAATGGATGGAACCCTTTGTTTTTATTTCTCCATAGAAATCAATTGTATGATATATTTCTCTTTGCTGATCACATGTACTACTCTGACTCAAAAACTTGTACTATCCGGAGAGCCAATAAATGCACAGGAAAGGACATAGTTGCAATCAACCTTCAACCATCATTTCCTCCACCAGCTGAGTTACTTGTGGTATATCCTTTAAAACAGCAGAGCAAAAGGATGGATTCTAAAGCATTTGGTAATTTTCAGTGTAATTGCTTTGTCAAATAATTATGACTGTTTAAACTCCATTGGGCTGGTATCATTTTTGTACTAATAGCACATTTCGATGTTTTGTACTGGTTAGCTTTGTTTCTTGCTACTTTTCAATTACCTTCTTCAACTAGTCTTTTCAAATATCCTAAAATTGCTTTTACTGAATTTTCCAGTCTATTATATCTAGAAATCATTCTTATTTCTACCAACAGTACAGTTTTTTAGCTAGGCATATTCATCCAGTAGGTATACAATCACTAACCTTCCTCATTCATACAGATATGCCTAGTGTCAAATGTGATCTTTATCCCTTTTTCCTTCATGTTAGCACACAATCGCTCTTCTTGCTTGCAATTGTGCTTCAATTTCCAGTAATGTGAAAGAACTAACTATGCCAAAGTCTTTTTCAACTTACTTGTAGTTCTTTGAAGGAATTCTTCCTCTGATAGCATGCCACATATTTATGTTGCATATTGCTCAGTCCTAGACATGTCTATTCAAACAAAAGTCCTACTGTTTTAAATGGGTCTGACATCCAAGAAACCATGCATAGGATTGCAGTCACCTTATTCTTCAGGGCATTATTCTATAATAATCAACAACTTAAATTGATTATAAAAATAACATGATCCATTTTCGTCATACTCCAAATGTTGCCATGCAATTTATCTCAGATGTTACACTTTTCAAATAATTGTCCATATTTCTTGTTTCAAGCATCCCTTCTATAAAAAAAAATATGTCACTGAGGATACATGGAACAATAGAATCATAGAATAGTAGGGTTGGAAGGGTCCATGAAGGTCATTGGGCCCAACCCCCTGCTGTTGCAGAACTACAGATATTCTGTATGTTATTTCTAAGAGCAGAAACAGGCATGAGCAAACCTAAAACATTTGTGCAGTTTAGAAATTCACAAAGTCCTTCCCTGTATTCTTGGAGGTTGCTATTGCTCTGTCTGTTTTCAGCGGGATGGTGATTGCATTTTGAACTGTTTAACCTTAGAAACAGGGCACTGCTCATCAGTCCTGTGCACGTGACCATACGTAAAGACCAGTGCAGGTAGATGCCAGAGTGTCAATCCACCGCGGAGGCTGATGCAATCTGTTGAACTAAGCTTAGAAGTCATTGCATAATTTCACCTCAGCTGGCGCTCGTGTCAATAGGAGGCCTTGCAGTGCCTGTGTCTGTTTACCGAAGGAAAGGCAAGCAACAGTGGAAATAATACGGGGTTTTATGGCCTTTAATAGAATGGCAGGGCTTTCAGTGGGAAGGCGGGGCAGCCTCACCAGGGCACATATATGACATACTTTATTCACCCATGAGCTTTTAGCTGCAGCCCTTTCTCCCTGCTGTTGGAAGGGCCAGGGACACCAAAAGGCTCTAGGAGTTTAGCCCACAGGACAACCAAACCAAACCAAACCCAAATTTGCCTAGGCAAATATCCATATGCTCTACAGGTTGTGAGAGTGTGTCGTTAAATGAACCTTTCTCTTAGGATCCTCTGCATTCTTTGTTAAAAAGGCTGTATGGGCAGGGGAGAGAAGGGCATTTGATTTCAGAAAAATAAAAACATAACCTCAGGTAGAATGATTCTAGGTGGGAGAAGCAGAAGGTGACATGCCTGTGGGCAAAAAGCTAGAAAATCTAGGAAATCTGTTGCAGCAGAGAACTTCAGGACCCCTGGAAGTTTACATCAGCCGGTGCCTGTGGATGGCAGCGTGGGAAAGCTGGTGGGAAAGCTAGGGCTCCACCCCTAGTTGGTACTTCCTAATACAGGAGGCCCTCTTGGTTTTTTCCTTAAGAGTTTATTAGTGTTTCAGCTATGTTGTTCCTTGACTCCAAAACCTTCCTTTCTCAGCAGAACAGACTGAAGCATGGGAATGCGGAATGCTTGCAATATAGGTTTCCCCCCACCTGTCTGCTCCCTCCCACTCCAAGTGGATTCTTATAAAACACTGAGGAGGTGGAAAGAAGCTTAAGTTGCCCAATCCAGATGAACCCTTCGCATGTGCGTTGTTTTAGCTTATCCAGCCCGAGAACTTGGATTGAGGGGAGGCTAATTAGCCTAAAGTACAAATGAGGTTTATAAGGCGATCTTGCATCAAGGGAAACCTGGGAATGGAATCAAGTAAGCTTTCATTAGATGCCCTGCAGAGGCCAAGTCAACATGAGCCAGAGTTAGACGTGGACAATCTCACATTGTTTTCCAAGAGAAGCAGTAGCTGCCATGCTTTTTACGTACAATGCAGGAACTGTTTTAACTCTTCAGTGTTTGGATTCTTGATTCCATGGCTTTTCCTTCCACTAGATTAGTGCTCTGCTTGCAGGAAGTCAACCTAGAATGCCTCCCTCTGTTTAATTCCTGCTGGGGCTCTTTCATGGCCTACAGAGCATTACATTGGCCTGAGAGCTGATACAATGAGTTTTTTGCAGTGTCAGAGTATTGCTTAGGGATGTAACAATCATTCAGCATCTTCAACTGTGCCCACTTTCAACCAAACTCTTTGCCACCTCCGTTTCTAAAGGTATGTCAGGTAAGTGGTACTGGACCATGTATAAGGAGTTGTTGCTGCTTACCATGAATGTTTATGTTCTGCAGGAGCTGCTTATCTGGAGTGCTTATGCTACGCAAAGGGTCAGTTAAGACCCTTAACTGCAATCCTTGCAAGATTGATTTTGCATCCCCCGGCAGCATTCTAAGTAGTGGTACAGCCACAGCTGGAACTCAGGGCCAAACTCCCCCCTAAATGGTCACCCAGAGAATGTCACATGATAGAGGCAGTGACCAACAAGACTTACAGCCCCGGGCATTTTCAAATACATGCACACATGCATGTATATAGTTAGGGAAGTGACTGTAACGTACAGGATTACAGATGGGTGGTTTGCTATTAGTGCCTTAAGTTATCTATTATTCTTTTCCACCAGAAATGGTGCTTATTCCCAAGCAAATGTGTTTTACATTGGGTCAGCAGAAGCAAATGCCCTATTTCACTTAAGTCATGTTGATACTTCGATTTAAGAGCTTGAAAAAGTGAAGCCACAAATGCTCAAGGATTTTTTTTTAAAGGCTAACAAACAGTTCCTCTCCACCCCAGTACCATACCAGGAAAGCAGAAGCATTTGTAAAGCATGGGATGGTTGTGGAATATATGTGGAAGAGAGAAATGTTAGTTGTGTGCTTCATAGTTTAATCAATATGCATGGCTTTCTAAAGACATGTTGCAAACCTGACATAAAGCTGCTTGAACTCAGTAGCGTTTTTCTTAAAACTGTACTAAAACTGGAAAATGTAGTAAGGTAAAACAGCAAATTGTTGTGTAAACATTGGTAAATACATAAGCTTCAGATCTGCATGTGAGTGTATGTAGGTAAGGACGGGTGGATTTCAAGTCACGCTTTATCTTGATCTAATCTTCTTTTCCATTAGAGAGACCTTGTCTTTCAAGAAAAAAAAGCTGCAAGCCAAGCATCTGCAAGAAAGACTACAGAATCCGTCAGTGCAAATGTAGACCTGGATATACCTTAAGCAAATATAGGCAGCATTGTGAAGGTAATGCAGGAGAATGCATGATAAAATAAGTGCATAATATGGAAATACAGGCATGTCTGTTAACAAACTTTAGCAAACTTTGGTCTTTAAGCAAACCATAAGCAAATATACTCCATTATAACATATTCATATATGTTTTAGGGACAGAAGCAGAAAATTGTCAGTAGAAAAATCCCTTGTAGAAATTTCCCTTGCTGCACATGCCAGGGTAGGGGAATTTGCATATCTATTGTTTTCAGTGCAGCTTGCCATTTCATGCAAATCCAGCAAGGATGGATTGTTACCATCATTAACAAGCCACCCGAAAACCCTAAAATAGGGGCTGGTGAAGCATTAAGGAGCATGCCACCCTTCCCAGCTTTGTACAAAACAGCAAATGGCACCTGTGAGGGTAATTACACAAATCCTACTGACCCCTGATCAGGATGCAACTGCCATGCAGGGTCTCAGTTTGTAGAACCAAGGCTTGGGCAGACCTGGTCAATGCCTTCCTTCACCCACCATCCACCAACACATGTGTCTAAATAGGCCAATCTCAGGTTAGCACTTAATGCATTCTTTGAAATGGAGAGTAGCCACCAAAGTTCATGCTAGAATAATTAGTTAGTCTTTAAGGTGCCACAAGCAAGACTATTGCTTTTATCCAGAAGTGAATACATATTAGAACCAGAAAAGCGATAAAGCAGTCATCTGTAATTTTCCTGTATGTTGAGAGCTTTGGAATTTCTGATCTTTTCTTTCTTGAATGGTTGGCCTTGACTCATATGGCATACATACCAAATTGTCTTTGAGTTCTTTTTGATGCAAATCTGATTATTACTTCTAAACCCTTACTTTCTTTTGTAAGTGGACATGCATGATTAGACTCTGGAACTGAAACAAGGCCAACCAGAAAAAATGCTTTTCCTCCTGAACTTCAGGACTTGCTGTCTACAGGCCATGAACACCCCACATATTACATTTACACAGGGCTTTTTTTGTCATAGAACTCACCAGAACTGCGTTCCACCACCTTTTTTTGATGGATTTTTCCAAGTGATTGTGAATCGCCCTGTTGGGCATAGCAGGTCGGCAAAAATCATTAACATAGTGCCTGCGGGCTGCTTATGTGTCGGCGCTGATTGTGAGGGCGCTGCTCGGCTTGGGATGCTACTCGGCTTGGGATCAGTCATGTGGTCGCGCGCTGAGTGCTTACTGCCGGTGGTGACCATTGTGTAAAAGTGTGATCCTAAGACATGAGTTCCGGCACCGTTTTTTTAAACAAAAAAAGCACTGCATTTACGTATAAGTTACACTCTGTCCAATGTTAAATTCTGATTTCATTGAGAAAGTTACATATGTACTTAATCATCTCCCATAGTTTTTTAAAATCATTGGTTTTTTAACATTTCCATAGCTGTCAGTATCATGACTATCATATCTTGCTTGAGATGTCTAAATGATGTAATTTGAGATGTCTAAATGATTTTGTTTTTCATAAAGATAGTATATTGTCATAATTGTTTTTCTTCTTCACCAGATGTCAATGAATGTGCATTATGGAACCATGGATGTACTTTGGGCTGCGTGAATATCCCCGGATCCTATTATTGCACATGCCCAAGAAATTTTATTCTACTGCCTGATAAGAAAACTTGCCATGGTAGGTATCCATCAAACATAAAGAGTAGCATGTTTTATTTTTCTCCATAAGGTTTCGTCTATATCAGTGGAAATTTTATAGCACTGTCTCATTCTTGTTACCCTCTTCTTAAGAATATATACTTGATGGCTGATAATAGCAATTTTTCAAATTCCTAAAATTCTATTAAAATGATGTAATTCGTGCATTGGGTCACAGGTTTGAGACATAAGTATTCCAAATAATGTGAAAGAATATGTAATGTTCAGAGAGAACCTTCGGCTACAGGACGGCATACAAATGTGATAAATTTTCCTCTCTGGATCCAGATATGCTAGGCAAAATACTGAACTATGTCTTCAGTATGGCTGCATCAAAAATTACAAGCATACTTGCAAAAGGAGAGTTCTGAACTCTGTGGAACTTACTTCTAAATGTGCATATTTAGGATGAGTTGTTAGACTAAGTTTAGGAAGGGCTGAATATCAGGGCCCTAGCAAACCACATGTCTGCATTTGCATTGTTGACTGACTCCAATTTCTGTAACATCTGAAAGGCTTTTTCATGTCTGAAAACACATCATAAACCTGTATCTACAAGGTTGGCCAACTACAGCTCCATCATATCTTCAGACATCTTTAGAAGAAAACAGCATTTGGGCATGTTATTGTCACACCTTTTCTCCTGGGAGGAAGAATTTCTGAGGTGTGTTAATGCAGGTTAAAGCCAGATAAATGTGAAAGCCAGATATTTTAAAATTAAACAACTATGATAGGCAAGGCATTATTATGTTCAAATAAAAGATGCAGAACTCGAACAAAGCCATTTTAGGTACCACTTTAATGTAACACCTTAATTTTAGGGTTTGTTCAAATGCACAGTTTCCTGCTTATTATCACATTCTTTGAGTAGATATTGTGATAGTAATTCTGCACTTATACTTAAATTGTTTGGTAAGTTGCAGAACTCAGTGTGACTTATTTCTGAATAAAAATATTTAGAATTGCACACTAGGACTGTTGTCATAGACAAAAATATTTCCTGATTTTTGCTTTGGACTGATGAAGTCAGTACCCACCATGGATTCCAAGAAACTACTGTGGGCAACCATAATTTGTTCCAGCCTTAGAGTCCATCTCAGCAGATGTTTCCATATGGTGCTCTGGATGCTGGAAGAAAACAAGCAGCAGAATTGCATGGCAGACCCCAGCCTTCTCATCCCGCTGTTGCTCCTTCAGGCTACTGCTCTCATCATTCCCACTTATTGGCCCTGCTGAAAGGGGATGTGGGAATTGTAGTCCAAAGCAACTGGAGGGCATAACAGTAGGGAAGGCAACCATAAAATAGAGAAGAAGGGCAATTTAAAACATGGTTCATGTGGGCAATGCACTACTTCTCTTTTTAGGACATGCAATTTATCTCCAGCATCTATGTTTTTCTATCCCTCCAGTTGGCTTCCTCTTTTACTGTCTCTTGCCCTCAGTATAGCTATAGAACTTCTGACTATAGAAACTGCAAGCAGTTGAATTTGCAAAAATAGAGAGTTTTGCATTGTAGTTACCTGGAAGCCAAATGTTTGGCCTGTCTCTTATATATGGGAACAGCTGTGAAAGAAAAATGACTAGTCTGCATCCATTCAGAATCATTTTTGGTGCTCTAGATGTAGGCTTGCTTTTGAATTCAGTTAGTATTTCTTAGCCCTTTTCTCCTCAACCCTTTTTGATTTTTTACATTTCCTGCAGAACTTGTTTTCTGCACCAGCAACTACATGCACTGCAGCCACGGCTGTGCACAGACCCCTGCAGGGCCTGTTTGCTTTTGCCCTGAAGGATCAGTTCTCAAAGCAGATGGACGGACATGCACAGGTAAGCAAATGCACTTGAGTTTTGCTACTGACTCTCACAGCATTGACTGAGGAAAATAACGCTGGCTGTATGCAAATATCATGTTCCTTACAAAAGTGTAATGGAGGTGGCTATATGAAAAGGTCCACTCCTGCAAGAAACTGCAGGGTGCAGCTGTGGGGAGAGCATGTAAGGGCAGGGGAGCTGTGCAGAGGGCTTGCCCCTTGACCTCTGGGAGGTGGCTCCTGTCTGCTTGAACTAGGCCTGATAGAAGCAACACAAAGCTGCAACAAGGAATGTTTAAAAAAATGAATTTTGCGCAAGCGTAAGAGAGTGTAGATGATGTCAAGATCAAGTGTAGCTCAGCTTCCTGACCAGGATCATTGCCACCCAGCCTACTCCATGATTCAGAATGTCCGTGATTGATCCATTATTGCAGGATAGGGATGTGGGAGGAATGCATTTTGGATCTGACTTCCAGGGTTCAGCTCCAGGCCACTTTGATGTGGCTGTGAATCCAAGTTCCTGGCAACCATGCCTAGCATTCACACAATGCTCTCCAGGAACTGAGCCCAGAAGGAATACAGTGCAACTAGCACCTCCCTTCTCTACCACACCCTGCTTTGTTGTGCTGCTGCAGGTGACCTGGAATACCTTTATCCAGGGAAGGGGCAATTTTCAAATAATTTCTTGCAGGTAGAGCTTGGCTTCGCTCTTTCTTTTTAGGGGTTTTGTTTTTTTGGTTGCCACCACAAGTGACAAACCAGCAACTCTGTTGGCAGCCTGATCACAGCATTGATTTCTTCGCCATGCTTTGCACCCAGTGCCGTTCAAAGGGCATTGTGGTGGGGAAGGAGAGAAAGATGGCCTCCAGAAAAATGGTGGAGAACATTTGCCAGTGGTCCAGAGTGTGGGCTTTCTTTTTGCTTTACATCTTTCCATTGTTCTGCAGCCTATGGGAGGAATGGACTCATGATGCCTTTCCATGTGCTTTAATTAAAGTATGGGAAACTGAGGGGGCTGCCTCAGGGATGAAAAGCAGTACAAATGCACGCAGTGCTAGGCCTCTCCATAAGTAGAAAAATACTGAACCCAACCCATGAGAATTTTTCCAAAATATTTTCTCCTTTGAATTTCTTTGATATCAGACCAAATGAGAATGGTTGAAATTTTATTTATTTATTTTATTTAGAGCATTTGTATGCCGTCCCATCGCATAGCCTCGGGACAGCTTACATAAATAAAATAAAACATAATACAGATAAAATCCAGATCCACCCTGGCTGCATATTAAAACCTATAAACTGATACTAAAAGTTATTAAAATATCATTGAAATAAAAAGGTCTTAGCCTGGTGCCGAAAAACAAATAATGACGGTGTCAGGCGGACCTCTCTGGGGAGCGCATAATAATTAATAGTTTCAAACTAAACTTGGGCTGGACACCTCCTCAAATAGAGGTTGCTTACATATAGAGAACTGTCCCCTGCCAGATCTCCAAATAGAGAACTGCCCTCTGTAAAGTAGGAGACCTACTGATATACTAGAACATTTCTAGGGGATGGATTGCTGTGGAAACCTGGTGGGGGAAAAGGTTAAAAATATCCTTGTGTTAATCATGTGATACACATTGAAAAACAAAAGTCCAAAGCAAGGAGAATAAAACTTGAAGCATTCTTTGGCCAAGTCTCAGGACTGTTGGTCTCGCTGCTTTATTATCTAAAGTCAGTTCATACTGAAGTGTGAGAATGTTGTTCATTTTGGTGTGTCATTAAATGAGGTTCAGCTGTTTAATATCTGCCAGAATTCATCACTTTTTATTTTTTATGGATCATACTGTGGTTCTTCTTTGTGACATGAATAGTTTTTAAAATACATTGTTCTTATTGTAGGGTAGCCAAGTGTCCTACTTAATAGAAGCAGCCCTTTCTATGAAGGTCTGCTCAGTCCAGTTTGGTTTACAGATAGAGAGCCATAAGATGAGAAGAGCAGAGGCCTAGAAGCTACCTGGACAGCAGATGGAGTAGTCACATTCTATCTATTTAAATTAGAGATGCCTTATTTTAACAAAGAATCTTTTCTATAGAATATTTCACTGGAGAGGTTTGTACAATGTCACAATAATCTAATGTGCATTTAATTTTCTGGTATTTTAAGTAATTTAAAATATTTTGAAAGCATTTTAACTATTCTCTGCTTCATTTTTAATCTACACAACTCTGCATTTCAAAATCATCTTGTGTTTTTTGAGACTCAATTAGATATCTCTTTTAAATGCTGTATTATATATTATTTCTTTTAGTCTTGGTTTTTTGCTTTTGCTATGTACATTCTCTTTGGCTATATTGATTTACTTATCAATAATGATAATATTAAGATTAATAATAAAAAGCTAGTTTTTAATACAGCAACATCAATCTGTTTAAGGTTGTACTTCTCCTGATAATGGTGGATGTAGTCAGATCTGTACTTTCCTGGATCCAGCAACATGGGAATGTGGTTGCTTTCCTGGCTATAGTCTCCAAAAAGATAAAAGACATTGCATCCGTATAGGTCAGTATCACTATCTTTGTCTGCATTTCAACAGACATGCTTGTATCTCCTCTGGAAGCACTCTGGATAACTATTTCAATTTACAGTTGATCTCAGAGAAAGCTACCATGTAGGAGTTAAAGCTGGCTGTGCACAGTATCGATTGGGTGATAGCTATGATGTCACAATCTTTTCACCTCTCTTCTGTCCAAAGTGATTAGCAAATTGTTCAGCACTGATTTTCCCAAACAAAAGTAAAATGACCAACACATCCGCACACGTTTCAATGCACATGTGGATCTCCACAAAACAAAAAATGAAATAATGCAGCCTGACTCTTTCCATTAAATTTTTCATATCTACAGATAGTTATGGGACTAAAAAAACTAATATGGTTTGACATTTGTTGCAAACAGGACCCAAGCCATTTCTGTTGTTTGCAAACAGCCAAGACATCCGTCAGATTGGTTTTGATGGGACAGATTATTCAAGTTTACTCGACTGGCAGATGGGAGTAGTCTTAGCTCTGGACTATGACCCCGTTGAAAATAAGGTAAGGCATTTAAAAAAAGAGGGGATTTTGAAGGGTTGCAAGGACATATGGCCTTTGCTTCTTTGCATTTTAACCTCTTGGTGCTCTATAAAACGGAACAGTTGCTATCCTTTCACAGAATGCCTTCAGACACAGTTAAGAATATATGGATTCTGTTTAATCTATTTGCTTGTGCTTCACAGATTGGCAAAAAACTTTCATTCCCTCATCCAGTCATTGGCAGAACTGGGTTGTTTTCCTTCTTGGAAAAGTCCACAAAAAAGTCTTCCACAGTTTACAGAACATTTGTTAGCATCTTGCGTATTATCTTTAGGTCATTGTACAGTTAATGAGCAGAGAACTCAAAACAACTATTGCAGTTGGCCATTTAACCTAAAAGACTAATATTGTGGCAAACCTAGTCTTTTAACTGTCAAAAGGGCATGGACAGCCTATTAACACTAAATTCCAGGAAATGGGTACATATTAAAGAACTTTGTGTAACAAATTATTACCCTCTCTCTGGAGGAAGCAATCATTGGCATTGCCAAAAGATATGAAACTAAGTGCTAAGTGTATTGCACCTTCAACAATTAGTTGTTTTAATAAAATTTGCTTTGATTTGCTTTGTTGGAAAGATATTGTGGCATCCAATAACCTTGAAATACCACACTTTGCCGAGTTAAACACAACTGAAGATCCATTACCCCTTCACACACAGATGCCAGTGAGGTATTCCATTGCTGGCAAAACAGGATGATTTAATTCATTATTGCATCTTTGTTTAAGGCTTGATATATCATATTAGTTGGTTGATAATAGATAATGTGCCCTCAGCTGTGCACTGTTTTGTTTCATTGTTTTTTGAATATTGTATTTTTAATCACTGTTTTTATTGTTATATGTTTTATGGATTGTAATGTTCTTAGAGGGCCTTTGGGCTGATTCAGCAGGTTATAAATCAATAAACAAACAAATAAAAATGTATAGGCATGAATTGTGGGTTGCTGTAGCTGCAATGATTCAGTGAATGCTCCCAATAACAAAGGGGACTCTGAAGCTAAGAAAGTGGCAGGGCTGAACCTAGTTTCTAATGAATGATTCAATTGCATGTCTTGTCATTCAGGCATAACTGGCAAATTATATTTAGCATGCAAAATGAAGAATTGCAGGAAGTTATCAGGACCTACAAGCTGATCCAAGCTAAAATTCAGCCTGGCTGTACATGTTTGCTTGTTTGTTCATTTTTTCCCCTTCCAGTCTTTAAGTCCAAGTTTCCCTGTAGGGTTACTTTTGTATGTGAAAATAAATGTCTGGGGAGTTCTCATTATTAAATTAAGTCACTCAAATTTAGCTTAATCATTTCAAGGACAGATCTGTGGTGACAAGTATTCCCAAGTAAGTAATAGTCTGAATAACCATTTATATAGCATAGTACGGGGTGTAAGGTCTTCTCTAACTGTAAAGCATTCTGTTAAATTTAATCATGCCTACATATTCCATATGGCAGTGTGGTCATACAATTTAGGATTTTGCCATTTTTTCCAGTTATATGTCATATATGGAGGCAATTCAAAATGCATTTGTCCCAACATAAATCCCACTGTGTTCTGTGGGATTTACACTGTAGCAAGTGTATTTAGGATTGCTATCTTACCAAAAATACAAACCTGGCAAAAAAATTTTTCTCAGTTTCTCCTTCTCAGGATCTCTGTCTAGTTCAAAATGCATACATGGTGTGCTGCACTAGCTACTCTTTCCAGTGGGTCTGAATTTGGAGATTTGTTGCTATGTGCTGTCAAGTCATCTCCATCTCAGAGCAACCCTATGAACCATAGACAAATGTACTGAAAACTAGATGTTTCCTTCTATTATATGAACACTAAACACTTCAGTGAGGCATGCTGGGAATTGTGGGCTTATTTGTGTTAAAACGTATAGATTTACATCATTAATTTATTTATTTGAACCTGCCCTTCAACAGGTTCTCAATATGGCTTACCAAAAAATTAAATTGCATTAAACTTAAAAGAAAAACACTGGAAGATGCAATATAAAAGCAGTCAGCAGAAACTGAGATGAAGATAAAGTGACGTAATACCAGTGTGCAGAGGATTAAAAAGGGAGAGTACTCTGCCCTGAACCGGCTCTTTTCTCTGCAGCTTCTCACTGCACCGCTGGCTTTTTATGGAAAGGGGCACATTCCTTCATGGGCAATCTGCTGGTGGGAGGCATGCCAAGGGTGGTGTGGCCAAAGCCAGAGGTAGTCAGGGCTGAGCTAAAGTGGGTGAGCCTCTGCTGACCTCTTTCTTCTCACTCTCTCTTCTTTCCTCCCACCCTCTGCTGGAAGGGAGGGACTGATGTATCTTGCCTGAGGTCTGAACTGATTGTACACAGAGGCTCTTGGGCTGAGGGCCACATGAGAACAGTCAGTCCCCAAATTGCCCACTCCTGAGTCTGGAAAAGCACATGCAGAGACCAGCAATCCTTCTGGTATCCCAGCCATAAGTACCTTGACAGGATGTATCTCTTTCTATCGATCAGCTCAGCTTATTGAGACAAGCATGCTGCAAGACACATACTTTCTTGTCCTCAGGGATTATTTTCAATTTTTAAAATGGAATGTTCTAGATGTGTCTGCCTACACGTAATGTTGGAGTAGTGAACAAGTGATGTTTATATGTAATATGCAACCCAGATTGCATTTACAGTGAAATGCAAAACCCCAAGCTCTCTTGAATTACTCTGCTGAGTAGATTCTTCAAGCTCCTTGTTCTAACCCTGTACATTACCCAAATGATTGGCTCATACTTTGATTGGGAAACACAATGCCCACCTTTTTCTTAAGGGCAAGAGGTCACAGACGCAATCTTGCGGGATCAGAAAAAAACGCTTCAACCACATGCTTTGCATAATATTAGCCCCATTCTAGGTCTTCCACTGCATTAGAAATGGTTGTTTGTCATGGCAGTTGCTTCACGAGCCATTTTCAAAAGTCAGAACAAAAACATATTAAACCCTGACATACTTCAGGACGGGTGTTTTATATTATAAGCTGGCTAGCTGGCTAAAGAGAAATGTAGGATATTGAGAAGATGCTATATAGGAGAGCTAGGATTTACTTGCTAAGCAAGCTCAGGTAACAGAAGTCATTCTAGTTGAAGGATAAGTGTCTACTTATTTGATCTGTAATCGTGGGTTACGCTTTTGTAAATAACTCCATTACTTTTTTTTCCTAGAAGAAATGTCATTGCTGAAGGTAAAGGCATGAGATAAAGAAAACCTACCCACAAATAAGAAATGCAAGAATGAAATATAAACCTTTGTTTTTCCATTACAGATTTATTTTGCCCACACAGCTTTGAAGTGGATAGAGAAAACTAATCTGGATGGCACAGATCATGAAAAAGTTATCCGTGAAGCAGTCGAGAGACCTGAGGGGCTCACTGTGGACTGGATTAACCGTAAATTGTATTGGACTGACCCAGGGTATGCTTTCTTCTGCAGATAACACAGAATGGCTAATGCTGGCAACAGCCATTATGGGAAATAAATGACTGTCAGAAAGGGAGTAATTGAAATGTCAGAGCACTTTTGTGTGTTTAAGGCAAGTTGTAATGGGAAGACTCAGCCAGAGAAAATGCCATCATGCAGTGTAGAAAGGTCAGGTAGACCTTTGGCTAAACAATGCGTTGGATAAAAGTGGCTGTGGAAGGGAATCTACATTGAACATAAATCTGTTCAATGGAAACAGAGCTGGTGGTGTTAGTCTAGCTGCATCTTTCATCTGTAGAGGCCCCTAGTTCTGGGCACCCATAAAGGGAACCATTTCTGAGTTACATAAGGAAGATGGTAAAAAATAAACCTTGTTCTTCTGGAGCCAGGTCCCAAGAACCATGAGGACAAACTATGTTAGGTGCATCTTCCAATAATGGAGAGTATTTCTGCAGTGCTTTTTAAAGTATAACAATAACATGTAAAAGTAAAGTATAACATATAAGTAAAACAATTAATTTATATAGCTGGCAGGTTAGTACTGTAATATTCTTGGATTAAGGGTCAGAACATAGGAGGTCTGCTTAAAAGTGTAGTCTTAGAGATGTTTACTCAGGAGTAAGTCCCTCTGAGTTTAGTAGGGTTTCCTCTTGGTAATTGTATCCAATTGCAGCCTGAGTCAACCAGTGACTTTTTGGCTGATTGTGAGAATTTAACCAAGATGAATCAACTTGTAGCTTGTGCTCTTAATGGATCATCTCAGCATCAACAGTAACAACTTATTTTGATGGAGTGAGAATTGTGGTAGTACTGAATGCATCCACATGTGTGCCCACTGCAGGAAGCTTTGCATTGAAAGCAGCAATCTCAATGGCATGCAGAGGAAAATAGTTGTCCAGAAGGATGTGTCCCACCCTGGGGGAATTGCTGTTCATCCATTCATTGAGTAAGATATCAAGCATGAAACTAATGACGCGTGGTGGAGAGATTCTGCAGAATGCTTATGTAAAATTATAGCTCATGCTCTTTTTTTGGGTTGTCTTCACTTGAGTGTGGGTTTTTCTCTACCTTCATAGAGCTGGCTGCTCAAACAGAGATGTTGCTGCACACATGTATGTACAGACACAAACATCTTTATGCTGGCAGCTCCCATGTCAGTGGTGGTGTATCCACTCCAGATGTTAGTCTAGATATGAGATGACCTATCCATTTTGCTGAACCCTACCCCCCCAAACCACCAAGGATAGTTCCCTAGAAGCCTGGACCCCAATCCAGAGTGGATTCTTTCCCTTGCTTTCATTGGAGCCACCAGCTGTACGTCTTACAATCCTATGCATGTATAGGGATAAAAAAGGCTGTTTGGGAATTGTAGGCTATTTCTGTTTAAACATGCATAGGTTTGCATGCTCATGGAGTACAAAAAAATAAAATAAAATTGTGTGCATGTTTCCAAAGTTACAATGCCCAATGCTGTTTCATCCTCTACAACAGATTGAGATAGACTGCTTTAGAACATCCAGAATGACATCAGGATTGTAGAACCTAGAAGCACAGGGATTAGTGTTCACATGGGAAAGAAAGGGATACTATGCTCTATAGACAACACCAAGCCGGCTGTATTTATTGGCAACTTGAGTCAGTGTTTCCAACAATGGCAACTGCAGCTTGCAGGCCAATTGCCACTGCACCATGGATTTTCTGGTTTTATGGGCTTTACTTGTAGTTCCCCATGGAATCTGGTAATGTATACAATCTTTAGAACATATTACTGAGAACCTCTTTAAGCCCAAGGACTAAAATGCAATTGAACCCAATTTCAGAGAAGATCTTTGGGTCTACATTTCAGAGTAGGGTTTGCCAAAGGCAAAACATGATGGGGCAAAGGAGGTATGGCCAAAATAACAAAAATGCCAACCTATTTTAGCTTAGAGCTCTTGCTGCCAGGAATTCAGTATTAGGAGAAGCATTTCAGCCTTGTAGAGAAGGAAAAAACATGCAAAACCCAGGAAACTACAAAAGGATCAATGGTCAGGAGAAAGTGAGTGAATGGGACATGGAACATGGCCATCTGGTGAACTCTGGATGGCTAGACTGGGTCCTGGATTTAGCATGTGGGCTGAGATTTCACATCTCTGGACTAAGGTCTTCTCACAATACAGCCACAACTCTTGATACTGGCCAGACATGGTTAGTCTGTGTTTAATTCAGTTCCTCCCAGTGCATGCCATATTGGTCAAGTGTAACTACCATTGTAAGTTAGATTCTACTTTTGGTGGGACACCACCAAGCCATGTTTGGAGGAGGGAGTGCAGTGGCATGCCAAAGTTGAATTCATCATGTGGTTGTGAGTTTGACCACTTGACCTGATGCCAAAATCTTTCCTCTCAGCTACCATGCACTGAATTCATACTAGCAAAATAACAGCACAGTTCTCTCACTGGACAGTATCACTTGCAGTGTGACTGTGCAAATGAGTTGGCTGCTTGTTTTTCTTTTAATAATAGCTCATGGAGAAGGGATTTTAATATACAGAATTTCAACACTGAAAATCATGATCTGTCAATATTGCATGTATATATAAAACCCACTCAACTCTGTCATAAGCACAATACTTGACAATAAACCCTGTCATATCTACAGCACATATCTACAATACTCTTTACTGCAAGATGAAAGTGTATTTTGAAAAATATACAATGATTTATCTCTATTTTCCTTCAAATAAGGAAACTATTTTGGACAGACCTGGGAGTCAACCCACGGATTGAAAGATCTTCCTTACAAGGCTCTGATCGTCTCATTATAGCAAAGTCAGACTTACTTTGGCCCAGTGGAATAACTATTGACTACTTGGCTGACAAGTTGTACTGGTGTGACGCGAAAAAGTCTGTTATTGAAATGGCAAATCTGGATGGTTCTAAACGACAGATACTCACACAGAATGATGTAGGTGAGGCTTTGGGAGTCACAGTTTTCTGGCCAAATTGCACATATTGAAATATCCACGGAAGGCCAAGTTCTCAGTTTCCCGATACTGAAGTCAATTTCCATAGGAATAAACTCTTAGTGCAATTCCAGAAAAACTTTGTATAGGACAATTGCTAGGGCAACTTATGGTCCTCCAGATGTTTGGTCTACAACTCCATCAGCCTTAGCAAGCATAGCCAATGGTAAGGGATAATGGGAACTATAGCCAAAACATCTGGAGGGCCACATGTTACCCATCTCTGTCCTAATGTCTCAAATGTACTGTTTAATAACATATGCTACATGGCTGTTGGGTGCAGATTTTTAAAAAGTATCCTAAAGGTGGAGTATGTTGGATTTCTGCCCATAAATGGTGAGCCCATTCCCCATTGCTTGCAAAAGCAAAAGAAACAGATAAAGTATCAGAGATAGGAAAGTTCAGGCAAGTGAAGTCATGCTGAAATGAAGCAACACATGCTCTTATTTATGCTTTGCTTTGTTTGTTTCCTGTCTTACAACCTGACGGTTCTCAAGGTGGTAACAATAACAAAATATGAGGTGAAATACTAACAATCAAAGCATAAAAACAGCTGGTTAAAACATCAGTAAGACTTTATCAAATCAATGCACTTAATATCCAATTTGAACAAACGACAACATTTACAGTGTCATAACATTAAATTTATGAGGCCAAAGATGTGCCTGATCAAAAACATCTCTGCCTGCTGGCAGACAGTAATCAGGAAAAGGACAAGATGATTCTCCCTTGACAACCTTTCCTGGGAGCAGCCACCGAGCAGTTCCTCTCCTGGATTCTCAACAAATGTACTTCAGATGTTAATGTTAATGTGTCTAAGCTTACTTTGCTTGAGGTCAAGATCTTGTGCACATGTAAACAGCAGTAATAAGCTATTGCTGCCTCAATAATACAAGAATAGCTAACTGCTATTGATGAGAGCTATAGAATTTTTTTCTATCTAAATTTGAATAGAATTCTGCCCTAAAGTGACTACTGCGTAAGATGATGGGTTTTTTTTTTCAAAAAAAAAGTTATTATTCTCTGATTTTATTTCATATTTTTATTAATGTTTTTAATCTGGACTGTGAGCTTTTTGGTAAATTGGACAAAGAAGGACAAAATAAATAAAAGAAAAATAGATAAAAAAAAGAGAAATGCTCTTAAATTGGAAGGAAAGAGGACTTTTTTAAAAAAGCAAATATAATTAGCTATTATATGGAAGACATATGACAGTTTGCTAATGAACAATGTAGCAATACGAATCAGTATGGAAATAAGTAAGCAAGTTTTCTGGACAATGTTAAGGTAAGAGACATAACTAACAGTAGTCATTAGTGCTGTGCTAGATAGTCTTAGGGTTAAATTTTTAGTACAAAATTACTGCATCGGGGGTGCAAAAATGCTTGGGACAAACCCATTCTTGTGCATTTTTGTACTTGCTCAGAACCTGTTTTCCTGACATACACACTTCCGTGCCATTCTTGTTAGACTACATCACTGCACGATCCAACTGGCAATTTCTTTGATTGTTCTCACTTAAGTGGGCAGCTTGGTGGTGATGAGCACTGTGCGTGATAGGAAAATGCATCGCCACTGCCAGTGTCATCTGAGGGCATAGGATTATTCAGAGCCTGGTTCTGAGGTTCTCTGGCCTCACAGCTGTCACTTTGAAGGCATTGCTGCCCATGCTGGTGCCGCACAAAGAACAGCACTGGACGCCTCTCCGAGGACAGAACTGGGCCTCAGAGAAGGGGGAGAAGGGGATGGGGTGTGAAGACTGGGGCCAATGCTTCACACTGATTTCTGTTGACACCCCAGTCTAGATGGATGAATGCACAGTGCTGCACCTTGTTCCATGCATTGCATGCACATAAGACTCTGTGTTTGGAGGCTTACATGTCTCTGCAGCAGAAGGCATTGAGTTAAGCCCAGGGCCATCTTAACGTATGGACCTGATGGGCATTTGCCCATGGGCCCCATACTAATCTGTGTATGTTAACCCTTGGAAAATTGGAAAACTTCCAAAATTAACAGTAGCTGTAGTTGTCATCGGGGCCCCAGTACACTGCTTTGCCCAGGGCCCATAATGCTGTTAAGGCGGCCCTGGTTAAGCCCCTGGTTGACTGGACTGATGCCACTGTCCTGCCAAGTTACACTGTGGACTTCATTGCTCACCAGTGTGGCATGACAAGAGCTTCACTTTCATGTAGATGTAATTGTGGATAGTTACACAAGAACTCTTGGAACAGAAGGTGGGTGGTACTGTGCACATTCAAGTCCTCATTCTGTGGAAAAGAATCCAGCTCAGATGGACAGCATCTGCATCCGGGGTGCATCTCTTTGTGGGTCATCTGTCCCCCCCCCCCCCACATTTATTCCCAGGGCTGGTCCTGCTATGCAGCAAGGTCAAGTGATGTTGCTCCAGCAGCACTGTGGGGACAGCTAGATGAGGACAGGAGTCTATATGATGCAGGAAGAAATAGTGTCAGAGCCAGGCCAAGAAATTCTGCAAAGAGATGTGAAAAATTTGAAAGGCAGGGCAGGCTCTTACAGGAGAAAAAAGGTTTGAAAACCCCATTTTGGCTCCACATCCCTATGAATCTGGTACGTGCCTTGGCTACAATGTTATTTGGACATAGCTTCTCATCGTGGCTTTACTGCCACCTGGTGCTGCTCTTGTTAATAATGAAGAATTAGAAGCTCTCATCAGTTGCACACTTTTTCCCCTGCTATATTAAGTTTGGTGGAAAATATAGTGTAAAATGCCTGCCTTGATTGTGAAGGCCTGCCCCCACACCCTGAATTATGGCATTAGGTCACAAAAAAACAAAACAAAACCATGGGAGTCTCTCCATAAACCCATAGAAATGGATAAATCAGTTTAGAAACCCAAAGGATGGGATCATAAAATCATAGGACTGGAAGAGGGCAGAAAGATTCATCCTGGAAATCTTGACCGTAGTATGTCACAAGGGAGAATTCAAATAGCAAACTAGGTTCAGCATACAAAATGCTGCAAGATATTTAGCTGAAGTTGATTTAACTAAGTGAGAAGAACCAAATGCTACAAGGAAAAGCACTGTACCATATCCAGGATCAGTTCTGGGCACACCAGTTTGGAAAGGATGAAGACAAATCTAGTAGCTTTAGGCAGAATCAGCAGAAGGAATATCAAGTAAAAATGTCAAAATCCCAAGAAGACCAACTGAGAAAGTTTAGTCTAGAAAAAATAATTAAATCAATGGTAATATGCTGGTAGATTGTCCCCGCAATTATTTCACAGAAGCGCTGCTGTCTTCCTACTCACTCACTGTGAATAAAACAGTTTTTAACTATAGAGGTCAGTTTAATTTGAACATTAGCTAGACTGTCTCAAGGCCATTTTCCATCTGTCCTTGAGCTTGAGAGTTCTCATTGCTTTACAGATAGGATGAGTAGTTCTTGGTGATCCTTTGGATATAGACTGTTGAATGTCCTTCCTTGTTCAAGAAATTGAACTAGGTCATCATTAGCCAAACCAATATACTCCAGATGTTTTTCACAATTCCTACAATCCCTGTCCATTGACTATGATTGGTTACAACTTATGGGAGTTTTAGTCTAGAACATCTGGAGGGCAAGGTGTTGCCTGTAGCTGTGTTGTCTACAGCTAGAACACCTATCTAGGTGTTCAGTGGGTCCAGTCCACCCTATGACATTGTGTTTAGCCTATGTAAAACAGAAATATGATGCTAAGAATAGATATTTATGCATATCCATTGAAGTATTGCACAATGCATTTGTGTAGTGGGTTATTAAAAGTACATATGTCTATACTTCAGGTCATCCATTCGACATAACAGTGTTTGAAGATCACATTTGGATCTCTGATTGGACAAGGCCTTCGATACTGAGAGTGGACAAGAAGACTGGCCTGAACAGGGTGCGCCTTGGAGGCAGCATGCTGAGGCCCTCCTCGCTGGTGGTTGTTCATCCTTTAGCAAAACCAGGTATATTCTGGGGCTCCATTCTGCAGTCATGTACCATCTGGTTAGGTGCCTGCTAAGTAGTTCCACTGAACATGTCAGAAGCAGAATCATTGACCAAGCAGTATTTGGTGAGTGCGGTAAATAACTGCAACCCAAAGACTGGCCAAGTCATCACTGGAACAGACTTCTGTATTCTGAATTTTATGACTGTTCAAAGTGGTCCAAATATTTATGATTTAAGAAATCCAACTCCCTACAGCCGTTATTCGTTCTTCTTGTACAAGAACAGACAAGACAACTGCACATTTGCTTTGTGTTTTAAATTGGGAGCTGGATATTGTGCTGTGATTTTTGTGTATTGCTAGTTGACTATATGACTAGACTTTATGGGAATTTTGAGGTGTAGAGTGTCCTGCTCTGTTGTACTTATTTTTTCAGGACTTACACTCACATCCAAGAAGGATGTGCCAACAAACACCACATTCACATGCTACCAGCATCCGCCAAGTAAGAGTGAATCTGGAAGCAGCAGTGGAGATGGTCTACAGAAGGAGACACTGACTGCTGAAATGGTGCTATCTAGTAAAGACCACAGTTTCCTCTTTTTCAATGGCAGGGGTGGCTGATGTGTCTAGTGCTGGGCAAAGTGGTTCCACATAGCTTGTCTGCTGCAAATGCAAGTGGCTGATGTGATAATATGTCAGTATTTTTCTTGAATCCATGCCTTTTGTAAGGTCAGAGTGTTTATTGCAGCCTTATTCAACCAGATGCCCTCCAGATGTGTTGGACTTCTCAGCCAGCATGGCCATTGAGCATACTGTCTGGAGATGCAGGAAGTTGCGGTTCAACACTTCCAGAAGGCGTCTGGTTGGGAAAGGCTGTACTACTGCCTTTTCTCAGAATTAGAAATACCTAGTGCTCAAGTTAGACTAAGCTTTTCATGGATTTTTGTCATACTCACATAAGTGGGCATTCTAAGCCACTATGCATGTAAGCCATGGTAGGTTGGTTGTTCCATGAACAACCCACAGTACACCCAACAGATGATTGTGCTCATCATGGGGGTTTCCCCTCCTTCCCCTCCAGTCAGATCTGCTACATATCACAGTGCTTTTTGTGGCAGAACCTGTCTTGGCTATGCCATGCTCCAATCACTACCTTGGTTTGTTTACTGCCATCTTTGCTGCTGTTAGGAGAATTGTGGTTGTATTATTTTCTGTGGCTCCTGAAAATTGCACATTGATTAATTGATGTTTGGTCTTTCACAGGTACGCACTTACAGCTATCCTTTATGTGTAGTTTTAATCTGGTCAATTCCCTTGTCTGTTTCAACTGTCAAAGGAAGACAAGATTGAACTGCATATAGGTTAATCTGTGCACAGTTGCCAGCTGTCATTGCTTAGCTGTTGCTTGAAAGGTCCATGGAGGAAAACTGGGGCAAGGAGCTGCACCAAAAGAGCATAGTGGAAATATCATCTGGCAATGTAGTCTTCTCAATTTTAATTGCAGAACTGAGTTCAAATAAGCGGAGGGGGAGTTGATATCACCTCTTTTTGGAGCAGTTGTCAACTTGGGAAAGCATTGAAAGGGTGATAAGACTTGGTTCAACATTTTAAATTGAGAAGAATACAGGGGGTGATAAATTTTTCCACTCTTTTGGTGCACACTCTTTCTGTACTTTTTTACCATTTTATTGACAACTAGGCACTTGGTTGCTTCCAGCAATGCACAAATTGGCTTGCATGCAACTTCACCTTGCTTCAGATAGCCATACTTGCAAACCTATGCGCCACAGAAGGAACAACACATTTAAAAGTGGAATTTACAGGAGCTGAAAAAAGATGTTACCTCAGCTATGCTTTTTTGAGGTTCAAAGAAAGAAAGGAAAAGGAAGAGCAATGAGGCTTCCAAGCGCCATTTATTGACTGGACAGGTAGCCACTGGTGAGATTGCAAGAGCGTGCAGCAGGGAGGTTTGCTACTGTTGTTAAATGGCTCCATAGCTGCCAGGCTCAGATGAAATGGCAACCAATTGTGGGTTACACTACCCCTAGAGCAAGCCTTGGGCTCTTGGGTTGTCTTGTTTGTGAAAAAATAAGCCAGCGTGGAGAAACTGTATTGGGTGTGGATGACAGGACAACCCACCATGGCTGATTACACTGGAAGGGTTGTCATGTCATGAAAACCTGATGACTAATTTCAAACTTTGCTCATTAGACTATCATAGCCCTATTTGCAACATGGCGCATTACACAATTTTAACTCCCAACAGAAAAAGAAGTACAGCATTATTTCTAAAAAGACAAAATAGCCATGCATTTGAGAACGTGACTGGATATAGCAACAAAGTGGAAGAAGCAGTCTAGTGGCTGGGCATGTGCTTTGCATAAAGAATGTCACATGTTTAATCCATGCGATCTTTTGCAAGAGCGGAAGATGACTGAGCCTGAGTTCTTGGCAAGCTGCTGCAAGTTAATGTAGATAATGCTGAGCTAGTTGGACCCATGTTCTGACTCAGCATAAGGCAGCTTATGGTTAAAGTGGATGGTTAAACACAGCCACTAGTTGGGATGATGTCTAATGTCACTGCATTTTGCAAAACTGGCTCTAATTGGTTCGTCCAAAAGAATTAACTCTTCTGATCACTTTGGAGAAGCTGAATGATTTCTTTCTGATTTTGTGCCACAGGCAAGGATGATTGCATATGGTTGGGCTGTGATGTCCATGCGCAGTGCATTTTGAATCAAGATGGTGCTACCTGTCAATGCCAGATAGGGTTCATCAGGGAAAACCAATTGTGCTATGGTAATTATTTATGCACCAGCCAACATTATACAATAATACTAATTCTGGACCATATTATCTGAGTACATAAATTGTCAGTCATATGTAATACATTTTTGGGTGAACAATGCTCTGTAGTGCATAATGCATGGAAAGCAGGAGTGTTGCACAGCCTGAACAAACTTTCGAGATCACAAGAGCTTCTAACTAGGCAATAAGCTACAAGAATTAGATCACTGGGGAAAAAACTGACTAGATGTTGTTGTCAGGATGACTACATTTGGGGTTGATAATGGAGGAGAGGCTGCAGACTATGACCATGCTGACATCTATTGATTTTTATGCAGCCAACCTGCTTTTTATTGCATCTTGCCTGAGAAAAAAATAAAGGTATCATATGATATGAATTTTGAAATCTATTTTTCTATTCAGCTCTGACACAGTTTCCTTTCTGCATTTGTTACAATGCTGCTTCTCTTGCAGATATCGATGAGTGTAGTTTTAACATGGATGGATGCAATCGCACTGTTTCTAGGTGTCTCAATACTGAAGGCAGCTACTTCTGTGAGTTCCAAGTGGGATTTACTGAGGATGGACTCCAATGCTCTGGTAAGCTAGCAAGTTGGAGCTGTTCAGCCTTGCTTCTAACAGCATGCATTTTGGGATGATTCATCCATGCCGTGCAGTGGAATTTTTAAGGCAAGCTATGACAGGCAAAAATCTTACAGGAACTATTTCCTCTCAAGGAGAGAGAGGGGAGGGGGGGAGGCAGGGAGAAAATGATACAGCTTTACCTGTTAAATTTTGAAATTGTTTGAATCGACATTATTTCAACCCTGTTGGCCCTTCCTATAATGTGTGCAGCAGCATTAGTTCATCAATACGCAAAGCCTCTAGTTGTTAGCAGATGTTTTCTTCTTTTGTTTGACAACTCTAACATGAAGGAGGGGATGGGAGTGGTGAGATGGATGACCCATTGAGATTTATTGGAAATCATTACCATGCGTGTAAACTAATGCAAGTATTGAGTCAATCATAGTACTCATCAAATAATTTTATGTTAGTTTCATAGCCGTGAGATTCAGACAGCTAACATTTACAATCCAAGTACATCTAAAGCTGTGCTCATGATCAGATTCACTGTTCCGCAAAGCTGGAACTGAGGTTTGATGTTAAATCTACAGTACGCTGCTTATGGGTATTATTCCCCCAGCATGGCAATAAGTAAGGAGACCAGCATTTTTAGCAGTTTGTTTGATAACAAACAACTGTGGTGTCATTATGTTTGTGCTTTATCAAAATGTCTGGGACACACTTTGACTGGAAAAGAACCATACCAACTCCTTCCCCACGGCTGGGAAGTTGGCACAATCTTGGGAGCAATGGAAGGATTCTGAGGTCAGGAAGACCGGGGCCATGAGGATATAGGATATTTTGATGGTGGGTTAGCCTCCATACATTCTTCTCTGAAGCACATCAGCTAGAAGCCTGCAAACAACTGCCTAGCAAAAATGCAGCGGCAGAAGAACGGGGAGGCAAAGATGTTCTGCTGCTCCTCTCATTCTCTCCTGGATGTTTGTAAACCTGCAGTTCAGTAGCATAAAACATCAAGGGCACAATCCATAGTACGGTGCCCTGAAAAAGTTAATAGCTGCTGTGGTGGCAGGTAGGTAAATTGGACTGGAAAAAAGAAATCCCTTCCCCCATGTTTTTCTGGTTAAAATGGCACCTCAAGCTGGTTCTTCTTGGTGTGAGAAAACATGTAACTTCCATACATGATGTGAAAGATCCATTTTCAAGATATTTCAGAAGTAATTGAAAAAATGAAAGTAGGGCTCTTACACTTGCTTTGCTGTGACATCAACTACCTTTGGCTCTTCATCAATAACCATGCAGCAGCAGCCATTTTATCAGGGCATTTGAACTATTTCTGCCATAACTGCTCATTATAAGGCCTGTAATTTGAAGAACGCATACCTGAGTTGCTTTATCCTCTGTTCTTCATCCCAGGAACTGATTCTGTTTGTTTGTTGATGATAATTATGCTGATTATCTAAGAGATGCTTTGGGGATCTTTTTGGCAAAAAGGAATAGTGCAAAATGCTTCAAATAAATCATAACTACTTATATTTGAAGCGATTCTCTACCTGTACACCTTGTAACTACAAGCAACAAGCTAAGTTAAGGAAGCATCAGAGAAACGAAGACTTCCTTCAGAATTTGGAAGTCTTACCCAAATGAGAATACAGGGATTACAAACCTGTACAAAGGAGATTCAGCCAAACAGTGAGAGATACAAAAAAGCATTTTGAGATGTTATTGCTAACAAAATCAAGGCCAACAAGAAAGAATTATTTAAATATATGAGGAGCAGAAAATCAGCAAGGGAGGTAGTTGAACTCTTGGATGACAAGAGAATTAATGGAGCACCAAAGGAAGTTTAGGAAATTTTGGAGAAGCTGTAGGACAGATACTTGTGTTCTAATGGATACTTTCAGTAAGTGCAGCTGAGAAAGATACAGAAAAGAGCAGTTAAAACAATTAAGGGCCGAAGTAACTTTCCTATGGGTAAAAGTTGCAACATCTGGGAATCTTTAGCTTAGGAAAGAAGTAGTAAGGGGAAACATGACAAAATTATGCTTGTTATGATGGAAGTGAGACATTTTTCTCCCCATCTTGGAGAGGCCATTCTGTAAAGCTGATTGGTGGGAGCTTCAGAGTAATAGAAATACTACTTCCCACAGGGAATAGTTAAGCTGTGGAATTCGCTGCCACAGGATGGACCAAGGGCTGTCACTCTGGACAGCTTTAAAAGGCTTGATGTGGAAGCTGTGACTCCTGATGGCTCTGTGCTGCTTCTGGTATCAGAGCCAATATGCCTATATGCACATATTCACGAGAACATGGGCAAGAGGACACTTTTGTACTTGTGCCTGTCTTGTGGGCTTCCAGTGAGCAGCTGGTTGGCCACTGTGTGAGCAGAATGCTGCTCTATACTCTCTCCAGCAGTGGCTGTTATTCCTTAAAGGAGGGGAACCAGTGTTACACATCTCCCACATCATGCCTAATTTGGCGTTAGGACTGTTGGAAAACATTCTATGACATTATCATTGCACTAGCAGAGATTCTGCTACATAAACCTAATGGTATATTGTACTAAAACTCACCACTTTGTCAAAACCAGCTTTTGATAAAGCCTTGTGGAATACTGTGTTTCAGAATCTGCCACATCTCCCACCTCTCCAACCAGAGATAAGTCCACTTTATCAGAACAAGATAGTCTGACTAACTGCCCATCATCATACTGCCTTCATGGGGGAGTTTGTGTTTATTTTTCAGTTCTACAAACTTTTGCATGCAAGTAAGTACATGCAAGTAAGTGAGATATAATATTTTGTTTAGGACCTAGTGAAATAATACATAGGTCAAAAAGAGTCCAACATCCTCACATATATTGTCTCCACTTCCATATTTTCAGCATTGAGCAGGAAGATCTCAAGGGGTGATCCTATGTACTTTCAGTTAAACACATTTAAATCTATCTTCAAGCTTTCCTGGTCAATGGCTTTGTTCACACATGATGACATTCCAGAATGTGGGCTGAGTATGGACCAAGTATAGATAGTTATTGAATCATGGGTTATTGAAATATGGGTTATCATTATGTGCCTATAACTACAGTGTTGGGTTTGCACATAACAACAACAACCCATAATTCAATAGGAACCCACAATTCCATGACAGCCTGTACTCAGTTCATATGCCAGGTTGTCATTATGTACAAATCAGGTCAACTGGGACCACCAATTTAATAGAGCTGGCAAAGGATGTTCATGCCCTCATTTTCCTCAAGCTTTATGCCCACACACATTTCTAGAATGCCTGTACTCATATATGCATGAGTTCTTATTTCCTGAAAGTACAAATTCCTTTTTGATACTTCTCAAAGCTACTTCATATTTTCTATACCACACACTGGGCATACCACAGTCATTTGTGCTGAATTTGTTCTTACGGCTGGCCCAGAGTGGCCTTCTTATCTGGCACCCTCTTATCTAGGTCCAAGAGGCAGAAAATTCCCATTTGCAATCAGCTTCAGGTCTCTGCTTAAGCAAGGGCCAGAACACACAACACTGGTGTTGCAATACAGATTGCCAGATTGAAGGTCAGTTGCTGCCCGATAGTCAAACTATGAATTACCAAATTGCTCAGGTACCTGAACAACAGGAATCTCCTAGAATCCATCTTAGAGCTGGAGGTGAGCCATTATCAAGACCGTCAGCAGAGAATTCTTCTGTAGTTTCCACCCAGGCAAATGGGTGAGGGACCAGAAAAGATATACTCCAGGGGAAAAGGAAATTGGGATGGCTTTCTCTTCCAGCACAGATGCCATGAGTGGAAGCAGGGAACCTTGAGGGAGGCATGTGAAGAAATTGAACCCAGGTTTCTTCAGTGCAGGGACCCAGGTGTAGTTTTACCCCAAACAAACATGATCACCAGGAGAACTATCCTAGAGACATAGTGTGCCTTCAAGGAACCAGGTAGCTGGGTTGCACAGGACTGTGCCAACTAGACTGTATTTTTCCCTGTATTTGCCCTTTGCTACCAATTGGCTGTTAAAACACTTTTTTGCTGTGATCTCATAATGGGACCAACCTTTTTCCTAACCTGCACTTTTTTCTGAATACTTAATAAATCTTTCATCCTGTTTTCACCAAAGCCAGATTGTGTGCTTTGGGGTGAAAGGGAGGCAGGCTCACAAGGGGGCATGCCATGTTTTGGGTTATGCTATGCTGTCTCAACAGCCTGGTTGCACACAACATGCTAAACTGTAGTTTAGCTGTGCATTCCTAAGGACGACAACCCTAGTCCAGTCATTCCCAAGGAACTAAGAGCACTTGAGAATTGAGAAGACTGGGTTTGTTTAACTTTGTTGGTGGCAGCTGGTACCTGTGGGCACTACTGTGCCAGAACTTGAACCCTCAGGTTTCTGGGATCTAGGTCACCAGAACTGTACATTAGTACTTAATTATGCATGTACCATTAGGACATCTTTCTCTTATGTATTCTTTTCAGCTGTTAAAGCCATTTTTGGTGTTCACCAGTCCATACTTTGTTCTAAGATGGTGCACCCTTCTGAGAATTAGGGTTGAGAAAAACACTTGCATTTTATTTACTTGCTTTTGCTCTTCTACATTAGGTGGCAGTGTTTCCTCATTCATCACCCAGGCTTGCACACTCTATTCCACTTCAAAATTAAAGGAAGATACTTGTTCGCTTCGCCCACTTTCCATACTTAGCATATAGCCACAATTGTATGAACTATGGGACACTATGAATGCATATGCTCACAATGCCAAGACAGTGGAATGATTCATGCATTATGTAATACTGTGGCCACTGGGCCCATAATGAGTGCAATGAGAAGCTAGTTCTCTCCCAAACAACCCTGAAAATGAGCTGAAAGCAGATTTCTAGAAAAGGACAGGTCAGTAGAGCTCCCTTCTGCAACTCCACGGATCTCCCTTATTTTGGAAATAAATATTTCAGCTCACTGCCCTTTGTTTCTGGAATTTCTCAATTCACATTGTACTACTGGTGGATACTGCTAGCCCATTCACAGCAAGGGGTGCTGTTCACAGATCCCAGTGCATAATCAGAGTTTAACTATCAGTACGTCTGTTTCTTGTCTTGTGATACAAACCACACTGCAAAGTTCAGTTCGTTTTCAGGGATGTTTGGTGGTAATGGTGAATGAAAATTAAGGTGAGTTCACAGAGGTCAATGACTGAATCCATTTTAGGCACACTGAACTGGACTACATTAGTAGACTTTTCTATTCCCTCCTCCCCATAGCACTCCTTTTAGCCCCATTAAAGACTACATAGCTGATTGGGGGACCCGACTGAATGTGACAGGCTGTGGTATGTGAGCGTGTTCCTTGATCATTGGGATGCATGCTTCTTCAATATAGTTCGAGCCAGTACAATTTGAATTGCCTATGTATTCATTGCACAACCGGAACTGATTTTAAAGGCTTTAGATCAACCTAATACAATCTTTCCAGAAAGCTTTCATTTGATGATATCAAAGCAAGATGATGATATTTGTGGTTGTCTTTATTGGCCCTGTGTTTGTTCCTTTGACAGCTGTGCAAAAGGCTACCTTGGAGAGCGCTGTCAGTTCAGTGACTTGGAGTGGTGGGATCAGCAACATGTGATGAAAATTAAGAAGCAGAACT